TGGAAAGAAACCTGCACAACAGTATTAGGAAGGAAGAAGGTGGAAGACAAGGAATGGATCTCGACGGATACCTGGAAGCTGATAGAGGAGAGGAGGATGGTGAAGCGGAAGATAAACCAGTGCAAGGATGCTCAACGACAAGAGGAACTGAGCACAATGTATAAAACACTGGACAAAGAAGTGAAGAAGAGTGCACGCAACGACAAAAGACACTTCTACGAAACACTGGCAAGTGAAGCAGAACAGGCTGCAGGTAAGAGAGACCTGACGACATTGTATCAAATAACCAGGTTGCTATCAGGGAAGAGACCAACACAGATGAAACCAATAAAAGATGAAGAAGGAAATTTAATTACAAAAGAAGAGAAACAGAGGAAACGATGGGCCGACCACTTCAAGAAGCTCTTGAATCGACCACCACCTGCACTTCGTCCAGAAATACCACCTGCAGCCGCTGAACTACAAGTGAACATTAATCCCCCAACGAAAATGGAAGTCCTGAACGCCATAAAGCTACTGAAATGCGGGAAAGCAGCAGGACCAGATGGAATACCGCCAGAAGCACTGAAAACAGATGCAGAGACAACAGCGGCCATGCTCACACCACTATTGCAGAAGGTGTGGAAGGAAGAGAAGGTACCTGACGATTGGAAGAAGGGTTACCTTGTCAAACTGCCGAAGAAGGGAGACCTCAGTGCTTGCAAGAACTGGCGCGGAATCACTCTCCTGTCCACCCCAAGTAAAATATTAAGCCGCATCATCCTGGAGAGGCTAAGGGATGCACTGGATTCAAAACTACGACCGGAACAGGCAGGCTTCAGGAAGTACAAATCATGTGCAGACCAAATTGCAACGCTTCGCATCATCATAGAACAGAGCATAGAATGGCAATCACCTCTCCACCTCAACTTCATCGACTTTGAGAAGGCCTTTGACAGCGTCGACCGAGAGGTAATTTGGAAGCTGCTTCATTACTACGGAGTGCCGCAAACCTTTATCCGCCTCATTCAACAACTATATGAAGATGCCACATGCCAAGTAATCCACAATGGGAAGCTCAGTGATGCCTTTGAAGTGAAGACAGGAGTGAAACAAGGTTGCCTACTATCCCCCATGATATTCCTTATTGTGGTGGACTGGATCATGCAGCAAACAGTAGGCAGCGAGAAGAGGGGGATACACTGGACGACGGAAAAGAACCTAGAAGACTTGGATTTCGCCGATGACTTATGCCTAATGTCACATAAACTTGAAGATCTGCAGGCAAAAACTAACAAGTTGATAGAAGAGGCAGCGAAGACGGGACTTCAGGTGAATATAGAGAAGACAGAAGTGATGAAGATACCGCACCACCACCATCAACAACAACAAACTCCAATCACTGTCAACGGGAGAAACTTAAAGGAAGTAACCTCCTTCACTTATCTAGGAAGCACTGTTTCAACTACAGGCGGGACGGACGAGGACGTCAAAGTCAGAATCGGAAAAGCAAGACAGGCATTCATTAGCCTGAAACCAGTGTGGAGATCTTCTGCACTCAGCATGCGGAACAAGATACGGATTTTCAACACCAACGTCAAGTCAGTGCTCTTGTATGGCTCAGAGACTTGGCGCGTCACGAAAGGTATTTCCAATAAACTACAGACATTCATCAACAACTGCTTACGCTCGCTGCTGAAGATCAGATGGCCAGAAAAAATAAGCAACAAGGAACTCTGGGAACGAACCAACCAAGAACCTATCACGCAACAAATATGCAGGAAGAAGTGGAGATGGATTGGCCATGCACTGAGAAGGCCGACTGAGGACATCACGCGTCAGGCCCTCGAGTGGAATCCCCATGGGAAGCGACGAGTTGGACGTCCAAGGGTGACATGGAGGAGGTCGTGCGAGCAGGAAATGAGAGCTTCTGGGCTGTCGTGGGACCAGGTTCAAAAGATCTCAGAGAACAGAGGTCACTGGAGGCGTGCTACTGAAGCCCTATGTTCCACTAGGAACCCAAGGGACTAATAATAATATAATAATGGTGCCTATGAGACAGTAGTTTACTCGTTTCATAGTATTTCAAAATATTTACTTCTGAATTAAAGTGGTACATTTCCACCGACATTAGGAATGAAGGTTTGTCATGTCATTATTGTCATGAGATAATGAAGTTCTAGGTCAACATAATTAATTCTATATATTTAGTTGAATAATAATGTAAAATGTTGTGTAATCAATGTAAATTGTAGGTGACTTCGTCGGTCTGTAAATAGTCTATAGTGTGCGAGTAATTGCATCACCCTGTTGAAGGTTGTGAGTTCAAACACCTGCAGGTATTTTAGCGTTCACAGTAAGATACAAAATGAGTTACGAATGTTGAGTGGTGTTCTTCAAGGATGTTCACTCTCCCCACTCTTATTCAACTTTATCAAAAAAGTGTATATAGAGGTCTCCCTGTTGTCGTCTGACTTTACAGGAAAATCTTTAGCAGATCTAGAGTACTCAGATGACATAGTCGTGTTGCTCGATGACGCTGATAAGATGCGATTTCAGAATGTTTGGGATGCATCTTTCGCTATACAATTGCGACTCGTTGCTTCAGGATTGGTTTTTCGCTGGAGTGGTTGGGTTGACCACCTCACTTACCTGGAAAATGTGACCAGCCCTGGTGGGTCAGTGACTCAAGAAATCTCTGCATGAATAAAAAAGTCTGGACTGATTTTCTACCAGCCTACGCCACATATAGTGCCTCTGTGATATCCTATTGCCAACTGTGTGGCTGTGAGCGTTACTATTGAAGGTGGAGGATATGAAAAGGCTTCGAGTATTCGATTAGCATGGCCTTCGTAGCATAGGTCATGCGACATAATGTCAGCATATCAGTAATGTGGAGGTGAGACACAGGGTTTTAGGGAGACGAGGAGATTCAGTGGATGTGTTTGTGGTTATGAACCTTCATTGACTGAGGTGTTTGGCTGCGACATGTGTTATACATGCCTGGTCATCATCTACCTCGCCGCACAATGTTAGCTGAAGTCGGTTGAGGCTGGAAGAGAGTTAGGGGTGGTCAGAATAAACCATGGTATCAGTTCCTGCAGTCTTCAACTGTTGGTGTGAGCCATGTAGGGAAATACAGACTTCATGATTGGGGTATGTGTGAGTAGAGAAACCAGTGGTTGGAAACCCTAGATGATGTGGCTCAGAATCGGTGTCAGTGGTGCATATGTATTCATACATCATCCTCGTCCTAGTCGTCCTAGTAAATTCCAGTATTCTTTCATACCTCCTTGTTCTCTTTTGATGAGGTTTCAACGATTTCGACTGCTGTTTGCTTCACTTTTTTACCTTTCATCTTAGTGCATTGGCCTCTGAAATTCAGTTACCTGGTTTACATCCATTAAAACAAAAAATGAGAATTAGCACTACGGTTTATCAAACTGAGATTGCTTTCATTCCTGATCACCAGATTGTAGACTTTCTTTTCATTGATCAGCGATGAAAGTGTACACTTCCCAGACAGACATTATCAATAAGGCAGATATTTACCTATTCTCAAAGTACTGGGGCAAGTTAAGCTAACACAAATAGATTTCTTCTATAGTATTTAAAGCGAACAATTACTCCTGATTAAGTCTTAGTTGGGAAAGAAAAGAACAATTTGGTAACAGCCGCCTTCCTCCATATCAAATTCTGACTACATTTCAAAAAACGTATATAATGCACAGCAGTTCGCCTTAGTCTACTGGACGGCTATAAAACATGACCGCTGAAAGCAGAAAACATGGGGAATCTACAGATTTTTGATCATACGTGTCTCTGTGCCAACACATGAACGATGTTGACGTAGTGAGTAGAGTTAGAGAAAAAGAATGGAAATCACTTTATAGGGTTGCACTACCTAAGTCACCGTTAACAAGGATGTATGGTATTGGACAAAAAAAAGAATTGGGTTAAGAGAAAAATGAAACTGATTCATGAAATCTATGATTGTTGATTTGAGCTCGGTGTGGAAGTCTAGGCTAACTATCTGAGGTTCTAGAGATTAAATTATAGAAATCAGCAGTCGGAAATTCCTAGTGAGCTGGCTTAAATTCGTTTACAATGATGTAGATATTTATTTTCATTATATCATTTCTGAAATATTCGGTAGTGATTACCAAACTTAATTTATTTCTTGCTTCTCCTTTCAAGCATTCAGTCTATTTACTTATATATGACTCTTTTTTCACTTCCCATTATATCCTTGTATTCACATGATATAACCTGAATCATATATACATGGACACTTGAACAACAACCTTCAGATTCCATGCTTGAAGGTCGCTTGTTTCCTCAGTAAATGAAAAGGGCCATAGGATAAAAGACGGTATATTGCAACATCAAAATATATACAAGGAACAGCGGTATCTATATATTTACAATGGCATTGGCTATTTCTATACCTTTCTAGAATACTAAATCCTATTAATTTTTGCCTGTTCAACCAAACTGGTATTTAAACATTGGTTCATGTGTTTTCGGTCGATACTTCGGCGCAACATTACCGGCTTCTGGAAAATTTTATGAAGATCGTGGCAAGTTTATTGTACAATAGAACACTTTCTTACTTTATGTTGCTGTGAAATATGGCACCTTAAACAGATTCAACTCTTGTACAAGGTTCTGAATTGACTCATCTATCTGTTTGCCTATTTGTAATTAGCCCATATGTGCTATCAGTCATAACCAGAAGCTCCCTCAAGAAGTATCACTCCACAATCTAGTGGAGTAGCTGTGATCTCAGCATTTGGTCATTAATCTAAAGTTGAGAATTATACTTCCCCTCAAACAATCTAAGCGTATCATTGGCCGTAAAAAATACTGTTTTCAATTATTGAACGAGTAGAAGAAATGATGATTGACTAAAAATTTGTACTTTTTGTCATATTGATTCGATAATTGATATGGAAATCCTTGTGGAAATGTTTTCAGTTAAAGTGATAGATAAATTTATAGATATTAGATAGAGTACTTACCAATTTAGCACGTGATGTCTCAATATCATAAAACTCATAAGGTTTTACATACGGAATTTTAACTGTGCTCAATTTGTGTAAAAATCTTCTAGGATCAGTTAACAGATTCATTAATATATTCGGATCTTTCCATATAGCTAAACGAAATAATTCGCAAGCTGCTCGACATTGGTCACCTGTAGTTAACTGATCCAAAGCTAAAAAAAGAAAGTACATATAAAGAAAGGTGAGATCACGTGTCAACTTGAAAACAAAACAATTCACGCATTTCTACTTTCTTTGTGTGCATTTGTATTATAAAGCACAGTAGGCTATTTCATCATAAATAGCAAAAAGCATAATAGTTGCTTATTTCACCCTATTTTGGTCAAAAAGATGCCTCAGCGGAGTAGGTACTCGAACTTCAACAGGTGGGTAGAGCGGTTCCCAAGTCATATTGATCTTGGTGACTAGCAGAGCGATTCGGCCGAGTACAGCAACAGAAAATTACAAGTATCATAGCAACAACTAATACCCATTGCACAAGAGGTAGCTATCGTACGCCAGTGGCTTGCTGGATAATGCTCCGGCGTTTAAAGCTAAGGATACTGGATTCGAGCCTCAGAGGCAACAACATCACTCATCGGGGTGAGAAGACATTCAACTGACGAGTCCCAAACAGGATGAAAGGCGCGTCCTAAATTCCTCTTCTAGTCACTAAGATCAGTGACACATCAGCAGTATCAAGGCACCTACATAGGAGCCCATCTGTCAACAGAGGTCGAGCAGTTCGGCCCTGTATAGCAACAGGAAATTAGAAGTAGCATAACAATGGTTCTAGTCATTCAGTTCATACGTGTATGAGCAAATAAGCAGCCTACAACCCAGTAAGTGGACTTTCTATATATATATATATATATATATATATATATATATATATATATATATATATATATATATATATGACGTGAATACTGAAGTTTTTAAAAATTACTATACCTAATAAGGCTGAGCACTCTTGAGCACAAGGTATTTCAGTATTTTCCTTGGAAAGTGCTTGCGACAAATCTGCAGCTAAAGTAGCTAGACTTGAATTATCATCAGCTGGCCATATCAGGTATACACGGTGAGGAAGCAGTTCCGAAGACAGAGGTTCCTAGAAATTTAGAAAATAAGTAAACACATTAACATGAGACAATTCTTTCATTTATATCACTATCTACACATAAATGTATTGTTTACTCATAGACTTTTAGGAGTGTACTCCATTGATTTGACCAAACAACCGCAGTACTGTTAAATCAATTAATTTTTCAGGAAAAACAGTTTGAAGTTTTTTAATAAACACATTAATATCGACAGGGGAACCTCTGAAAATCGTAATACATGCATTTATGAATCCCTCACTAACATATAACCTTGGAAGTATCTGACTTCAAGAGAGTAGTTTCAAAACACATAAGTACCAGTGGATCCACATATAATGGTGGTTCTCTTTTCACCCACTGAGCATCATTTAATGCAATCACAGATGCCTAATACATATGTATACTAAGTGTAAACACTACTTTATAAGTAGCAATATTCGTTAACGAATTTCTCAAAATAAATTTTTTTTTCAAGAACAAGATATGAAGCAATCCTACAATAAACCTTTTATTGTTCATATATAAAACTGATTTATAATTTCACGCTATCACCAAAAGACAGGTTTACATCAAAGGAGAATGACTGTTTCTATACGAAAAATATTGATCATATGCTGAAGACAATTTTATCTAGTAGTTACTTAGGCTGTCGCAAACTTCTATAGATACTAACATTTATGAAAACTTTACAAAAAGATAATATAATTTTTCATCGGAAAATCACTATAGCAGCACAGTTGTCTTACGCATATTCCTATTAAACGACTTCTGAAACAATGAAGATATTTTAAAAGTGCTGACAATTCACTATAAGCTGAATACGTCACATCGTGAAGTTCAGTAGACCATATTTACCAAACAAACTTACACTGTATCTCATCTTCAAGGTTTCTAAGCAATTCACTCTGATAACTAAGTTAGTCAGCGAGATAAATCGACCCAGAAAGTTATATGAGCGTTTATCGCATCATATCTTTCTCTTTGTTTAATTTCATATCAAAATAAATAAACGATGGAAGTATTTGTACTTTTGAACTGACGTTAATGCGCTTGTAAATCAAAGTACTTTGGAATAATTAAAAAAAACACCGGTATTCATAACATCACAAAAATTATAAAATCAAATCAGATGTCTAGAAACATCTCAAAGATTTAGTAAGAACAATAAACAAATACAACTTCAATATTTCTCCCTTATAGACAATATTTGTAAGGTGCAATAACTATAATTTAATAGAACAATGTTTACAACTATAGATATATTAAGTAATAAACCAATCAATGAATAAGGGAGAGAGATTCAAGAATGTAATCTTTCCATCATTGGAATCTGTGATGCATTGAAATTATGTTTAACCCTAGCAACTTTACCTTTTGAGAAAATCTTTACCATCAAACTACTGAAGTAACAATAGGCTCATTTATTTTACCAATTTTAGCTAGTTTGCATATACACAAAGTTGAATCAGACCTATTTAACTAACATGACTTAAAACCCAAGAACATGGTTGAAGGTATGTTGATGACACCTTTGTCACAACCGAAAGAAAAATTCTGGAAAAGCTTTTCGAATGTCTATCCAGTCGCTTCAATGCCATAAAAATCATTTATGCAGTAGAAATAAAATCTAAAGCTCTAGCTTCCCTAGACTGCAAACAGCTATATGAAACAATGACGATACACTTGATATTGATGTCTATCAAAAGGATACATATTAGAACAGATACCTTTACTTTGATTTAGCTCACCAACTAGAAATGAAGTTAAATATCGCAAAAAATCTAAAGACTGTAATATTTGAAAGCTTATAGAAAACTCTCGGGAAGTCCGAAAACGAAACAACTATCCGGAGAAGTTACTAAAAAGAATAGTCCAGCGAAAAAAGACACGAAAAAACTCATAAAGATTGGATAAGTACTGTAGTACTTCCTAATCGGACATCGACGTCAGAAGAAATAAGACGTATCCCTAGCAAGTATAATATCAGGGTATTCTTTAGACTAACAAACAATGAGTTCACACCTGTCCACATCGGAAGAAAAAGGCTTCAGGTGTTTGACCACCGTTGCCTTCGTAATATAGGACGTATTCCGTGGTGTCACCACGTGAGTAATGCAGAAGTCAGGTGTAGAGTTTTGGGGAGAAGAGGTAAGTCAGTTGACGAGGTTGTGAACTTTCATCGACTGAGATGGTTGGGACACGTACTACGTATGCCTAGTCACCGATTGCCTCGTCACACAATGTTGGCTGAGGTGGGTTCAGGCTGGAAAAAGGCCCGAGGTGGCCAGACTAAAACATGGCACCAATGTATGAAGTCTCTGACTGTTGGTTTAAGCCATGTAGGACGATGCAGACTAGGTGGTTGGGGTCCACGGGACAAGAGGAACCAGTGGTTGGAGACCCTAGGTGATATGGCTCAGAACCGAAGTCAGTGGCGCAGATGTATACACACATTATCCTCATCTTAACAACGCTATACCGAATCTCACTATTTTGTCACTCCTCTTTCCTTTCTTCTCGTACTTTATATTTCTTTTGACTGCATTCACTTATCTTCATCCTTCACCTCACTACCTTTTTACTTGACGTGCTGACATGAGGTGTGGCAACCCGGACCGTTACGCAGTAATGCCTGGTCCTATGTTGATAATGATGATGATGACATCGGAAGACCCGATTTCTTATTTGGAACATGAGATACATATCTATAAGGCAGACTAAAGTGAATGCGACACCAAATACACTGGAAAAACATCATTTCGGGTACTAACACGTCTAACTGAGCACGGTCGAAGATACAAACAGCAAGTGTAAAAAACAAGTGATGGCCCTCGTGTTTCAGTGGCCTAGTGGATAACACTTTGGAGTTAGAAATGATGGGTGCGAGGTTCAAGTCTCAGTGGGAACAACATTACTCATCAGTTGAAAAGTCCCAAATAGGAGGAAAAGCACATCCTGGATTCTATCTGGCAAACTATAACAATGAACATCCAGGCAATATAGAGGCATCCGCAAAGGGGCCCATATCCCAACAGAGGTCGATTAATTCAATCTAGTATAACGACCAAAAATTACAAGCATCAACAAATAATAGATAGTGATTCGTATCGGAATTTCCAAATGATATGCAAGGAGATGAATGAACACAGTTTGATTTCCCTCTACCATGCATGATTTATTCTTAACATATTCAACTTTCCTAGGCATTAATTTATGATTACTCCTTTGTTTGGTGTCTCTTCACTCGAAGGTATATGTTTCTTAGTTGGTCAAAGTTCCTCACCATATTTCTGCACCATCTTACTTGCACAACTTCAGTAAACTTCCTTAACCTAACTTGATACAAGTACATTTGTAATGGAAATTTACACACAATAATGGTGTTTAACTTTGATAATATTTCGCGTTTGATACGGAAGGTTACCTTTCCGATTATTTAATTAGATTGTTATATAGTTAATCTAAATGGATAATCAAGAAGGGAACCTTCAGTATACACTTTAAATAACAACCTGAAAGCTTAGTATTAAATTCATGCTCTTGATAAGGGTCTTCCTAGCAAGATAGAAATATTGAGGAATCATACAAAATATTTATTTATTTTGTCGTTTGTCCAAATATAAATATACACGCCCGGATTTTGCAAGTAAAATGTGCCTTACACAGCTTATTAGTCATCTAGTGCTTCTAAAACACACATGACGATTTGTCGAAAACATTTGTGATGTAAAATCTATAAATTCAGTGTATGTTATACTTTTTAATAGGAATACAATTATGATATATAAAAGTACATAACAATCCAGAAGAGTACTTACATCGAAAAAAATTGGCCGAAAATATTTTACAATATAATCATACGAATGTGGATTGATAGTCTTAGCTATAAATAATAAAAATCAGTTGTTAGAACAGTACGAAATTTTATAGTCCAACATACGTCTAGTTTCCCTAATACTTCTCATATTTGTTTCTGAAGTTATTCCAGCAGATAAGGCATTTACAGCTGAACCGACAGACGCTCCGAATGGAGTAGACAAAACTTCTTTTGGTAAATTTAGTATTTCTGACGGAATATGTGTAGAAGTTAAATGATATATGAAATGGTCACTAAATGTATTGCAGTTGTGTTCAAAAAGGGAATAATCCCCTGGTCTGAAAAATAGAAGCAACAACGAGAAAATTTAAAAATGCCATCTGAAAAAATTTCGACTTTTTCCTTTAAAACTGTGCAAATATCCTTAAAGTTGAGACTGTTGTTAGTTAACATTTTATCTGAACGCTAGTTTTTATTATCATTAAGAATAGCAAGTATTTTATACTTCTTTGTAATGCCATATTCTAATCTGTGTGCACATAAATGGTCAATTATACAAGTGTCTTTCCCGTCATGTTCATATAACTCAGCTCGGATACAGAAGGCCCATTTGACGTCTGCTAACTTGGGTCATCTCTGGTACCAACTGGCGAGATACCCTAGGACTAATAAACTGCGCTGTAGTCCCTACTATCTTCTTATATAGTAGTGAGACATTGCGGTTAACAGTGAAAGATATGAAATGGCAACAAGTTTTTGATCACGTGTTTTCACAGCATTGCTCGCGTATATAAAGGAATCCTCAAATGAGGAATGTTGACGTTGAACGAAGGGTACTAGAGAAGGAAGGTAAGTCAGTCAATGAACCTTCACTGACTGAGGTAGCTTGGACGTGTACTACGCATACTAAGCAACCGCTATCAGACTGAGTTGTGGCACTAGTGCATGAACTCTCTGAATGTTTGTCTCAGTCATGTATGGAGGTGTTGACTACCTGGTTTGGGTTTCCAAGACCATAGGATGCAGCGGTTGGGGATTCAGTAAAATGGCTGAGAATAGGTTACAATGGCGCAGATGTATTCACTACTTGGTGTTTTATAAAACTCGAATGTTTTGACTAACCTTCACTTTCAATTTCTTTCTCCTTCTATACATCTTTGTGTACGTTGATGAGAGTTTTTGTCTATCCACTGTGAAGTGGTCGAGTGGAAGTGACTGACAAAATAATACGAAATACGAGAACGCTACTAACTCAATGAGATACTTGAACTAGATACGAATACCAACCATTGTCTCTTAGACCTGATACTTCGCTGAGCCGCGAAAATCGGAAGAAAAAGACCGGTCTGTGACTGTAAAGAAGACGACCTTATTGGACAAAAAACGCAATTTATATACAGTTTTTCCTAAGCAAACAAAGCCACTAGGTTAGAGGTTGCATATTTATTTTTGCTGGTCACCTGAAGGATAAAATTGTTCAGTATAGTTTTGCCACCCATAAAGTAACATGAAACCAAGGTTGAAATCCAGAACCTTCACCTTGGCGGTTGATGAATTAGAACGTTGATTTCGATCTAGGCAGTTTCCTATCACACTGGCTCTGTGTATGCTACAGTGAAGTGTGTCAACCTGAACCGATGCGCTTGCGTGCGAGGATCTACGTTGATCTTCTTTGTCTGTCTATTACATATTTGAACCTCAAACAACCATTAGAAATTCAGGTTATTGGCTTAGGTTGCAAACTTTCAGCAGGTGAATCATGCGTTCGAAACTCATTTGCCTATCCGCCGTTTGAGTAGCTAGGTATTATCATCGGCCTTAACACAATAAGTGTGGCTGACTACACACAGCACAAACTTTTCATGGTTAACGAGCTGGTTTTTATCGCATTTTCCCAAGTTTATCCAAAATCATTAACCTTATTTTATGATGCGATGAAATTTGCAAAATAATGTCTTCATAATGAACCAAAAATATCTGTAGCTTACTTAAATAATGTATTCGATAACTGCTCCAAGTACTTGAAAATTTCCGATTCCGACAGTATAGTTCTTCCCATAAACTCTTTTTTCAGTGGATTCCCCAGAGAAGTTGAACACTGTAAAAAAAGAAGACTTTTCGAGCAAACAAAAAAAGTATTATCATTATATACAAATAAACTGTCCAAAGTACAAAGTGGTCAGCTTTTATTCAAAAGAAAATACCTACTGAAGTTACTAGTCCCGAAAACTGAGCTAACTCGCAGATATCATTCAGTAGTCACTAGCAAAGGGGTGAGTTTTACCTTGTTTGAGATTGGAAATGAGTGATTTTTGAAGAGAAGCTCGAACATATCACAAAAAGCTAAAAACAACAAGTTATCTACTGGGCTACTGACTCATGGTATTCAGCTCTCATCAACTGGTACAAGTTATTAATGCAACTTAGAAATTCCCGCTGTTTTTATTTCCGACTTTGTTTTTGGTACACCAGTTCCCTGCACATGCGTTTGGATAGTCACCCTAACCGGATTACAAAATTTTTTAACTACCATAACTTAATACTAACCTACTAACCTAGTTTTCAAAGATAAAGATGCCTAGTTTCAGTAGGGACTCCAAAATCGATAGAGGTGCAAAGATGTCCGGTTGATGAGCTTCGAATAAGATGAAAGACACCAACTATAACCCATCACTAACCACTACCAAATAGTAGCAAGACATCTATCAAAGATAGTATCTACGCTGATGTACAGAAGATGGACTTCTTAATAAGACTGTGGAAATAAAAGACCACAAGCTCCAGGCTTTAGAAATAATCTGGAACCATTTTTGATTGCCAGAGGATACTAGTCTCTGACGATGCAGCACCCGGCACCCACATCTCAGTGAAACTGCCCACAGCCGTACTCGTCGGAAATTTCATTACCAGTGAAACTATTCATAATTGGTGCAAAGCTGATGTAAATGAATTTCATGAATATCTCTACAGTAAGTACTAACTGTATTCGGATCAATGACAATAATTGCTATATGATTTATCGATGCTTCTTAGAGCATAAACTTTGAGAATAAGTTGGAAAATGTGAGACAAGTAGAGTGCATGAATTTCTCTAAAAGCAAAGCAGATAAAGCAGTAATGTGAATCTAAATGGAAGGTATTAATTCTTTTAAATTGCAAAATATCCCCATTAAATGATAAAAAAAGGCGGTTACAAAGAAGACACCTTTTCGATGACTAAATTTCAAAGTTGCACATTTCTAAATAAACAACTAAAACAATAAAAGTTTCGGGAAAATCTAGGGTCAAAGGTCAACGTCAGTCAAAGAGTATACCTAGTAAGTGAGTGGATTGCCAAACAATATGAATGAAATTCTAGTAAGTTTCAGAAAGCTGGCAAATAAAAGTGGGAACAAAATCAGGACTATTTAATATTCTTTGCATCTATTTCTGAAAAAATATATATAAAGTGAGATCCCCTACAGATCCTGCAGAATCCTTCAAAATGTGTGAGTATAAGATAGTTGTGTACAGCTAAAGTATTAACAACCTACCAATTCAAACCACCACTAAACCTTACAAAAGCATAGATACAACCACTTCCTTTACTGTCGCCTTGGAACTGCTGCATCGTAATTTTTCAAAAGTAGAGACAAACTTCATATTAGATAGTCCTTATCTGACTTTCTTTTCCACCCTTATTTGCCCACTCTCTGAAACTTTTCAAAATTTCACCCATATGATATGACATTCCCTCACTGACTTGCTAAACTCATCTTCATAGTTTGATTGACGTTGATCCTTGACTGTAGATTCCTCTTAAATTTTCTATTCTTTTAATCATACATGAAAAAATGTAAAAATAAATATTTTCGTTGTAACCACCTTTTGTTTTTTATCACTGCTTTTCTTCTGCGCATTTGCGATTCAACTAGTGACTGTAAAACAGAATCTATTAATTTTTGAAATGAAACTTTCACACAGGCATTCATTTACCGGTTTAAAGAATAAAGTAATCCTGTTCCCATTGTGATATGCAACTTGATATAATGGTCCAGACTATTAATGGTATCGGCAAGTCTATAGTCACTGATACTCTTGTTTTTCAACGTTCTCGTGACGCGACTAAACGTTGTACAGGTATAAGCACTGGGGTATGATGCCTTATGATACTACCCGAAGCTTAGACCAAAGAGGGCGGGACGGGATTTGAACCCCAGACCTACTGCTTGACAGTGTAGCAGTATAGCCAATGAATTGCATTGCGGTCCAATCACCAATAAAAAAGTAAAACTTGGGCGATGGTATAATGTAATTCCATATTATATGTATTTATGATGGGTGAAAACCTATCACAGTGGATCAGATGTATTCACTCTTTGTTGTCTTCTAAAGCTTGAATGTTTATAACTAACCTTAATTTCTAGACTTCCTCTCCCCACATACACCTTTGTTTACTCTGATATCAGTCAGTCTTTGTTTATTCACTGGTTTTGTGTATGTTACTGTGGTGTGTCAAATTGAACCGATGCACTTGTATGAGAGGTTGATTTTATGTCATACTTATGTACAAGACGTAGCACACAGTGATACAGTAGTACTAACTGGATGACGATTGGAGCATATGTTGTTATCAACCGACTATGCAACTTTCGACATCTATTTTTTTAGTTTTATCATCACTCTTCATTCCACTCAGTTAGTAAAAGTTTCCACATCTCCAGATAGGGTATTGCATCACTCATGTTGCGTGTTGATTCGATGAATAAAGACTTCTGAATAGTTAACATCACTATGAAAATTAGATGTTGGAAATTCTGTGAATACCTTGATAAGAATATGAGAGATATATTCTGCTGAAACACTAGCCAGTAAGTAATACTGTATCAAAATGCGCCTTATCAAATAAACATCTGATATGGAGGCTCTATCAAACCACACAGTCCGCTAGGATAGTGGCGAAGCAACAAGTAAATATTGCTAGCGCGAGAAACTTTACGCCGTTTCCAAGTCCTTCTGCTTACTACACTTAAATATCAGATAGACAGACGCAACTAAAAACCTAAAACAAAAGTAAATCGAATCAAACTACTATTACTCAGTATCAACATGTTACTTAGCACTGTTGCATCCAGGTCCGATTTGTACACTTCAGTAAATCAGAATAAAATAAGACGAGGGATAAGGAAATGGAAATAACTTCATTATAGGTTATGAAAGGTCACTCGAAGCAAATGAAAAGGAGTAAGGCAAATAACAAAATGTGATATAGAGGTTGGATATATCTGCACTACTGTGACCAATTCAGAGCCATGACAACTAGTCTGCAAAAATCGGTTCCAGCTACCACGCAGAACCTACCTAAGAAGTCTACATTAGTCCTGCACCAACCACGCCAACAGTCAAAGGTTGCTACACTTTGCAACAACACAGGAAAAGAGAAACCAAAATAGATGAGTGTATTATAACAAACAAGAATACGAGTAAAGGCTGACAAACAATATCTATTCTTCACTCCATGAGAAGGTGGAGCGATTAAAGTGGGCGGTGGAAATTTCATTTTGGTGGTCAGATAACACACATTTAAATTATCGACAGAGGATTTTCAAAGCATATCACAATGGAACTATTGGCTTTCGAAGATATACATAGCCACCGACATCTATATTTCAGGTTTTATAAATAAGATATCCTATATTTCTCGATCGTAGTAGAAGGTCACTCATTGTCCTTGATTTTATGTTAGTTGATTGGAGTCAATCCGGAGGAAGTCCTGGACCAGGATTTCATGTTTGTTTACATTCGTCAGCAAGGCGTATATCCAAGTTCGAGAGGAGTAATTTCCTCTCTGAGATCCAAATCCGAGTAACCCAGTGCTGTAGTCAGTCAATGAACTATGCTGATCGCGACTGACCTCGTGCAGGACTAGATTACACACAGTGATTTGTCACTGAAGGGTAACCAACTCCACGTTGTTTAGTCCTGAGTGCTTACCAAATACTATTGAGTGCCGACAAGCATGCAACCTAGGTCTAGGGCTTACTGATGATTGCCACCAACCAACTAAAATCCGTCCAAATGCACCGCGATGCTGAGCCCCTTGGTTTGGTGGCCACGTCGCAAATGATCGATAAATTCAGTCATCACTCAAGACCAGACAGAATATGAAATCGGTTGTCCTCCGATGACCAATCAACTTATCCTTAATTTTAGTATGGTAATTACAATTTTAATGTTATTCTCTATCACGATTATTATCTTTTAGCATGCAGTTCCATTCGGTAATTTATTTTAATGTGGTGATATGAGGCATAGCATATCGGATATACACAGTCACGTTAATCGTTTGTTGTTTATTACTGTGTCAAGAATCGCATGAAACTCTCCTAACGAACGAAATGAATAAATCTTTCATTATTGCACTTTCGCCTTTACTGATGCAATCAACACAAATCAGTAAAAATATGTATCAAAGAACGTGTAATTAATAACTTTGAAGACAGAAATCCAAATGGTAAGTTGCTATTTTCGTTATATCAATCTACCTAAACCTCAGTTTGCTACACCTTGTTACGTTGATATGCTCATCAAAAACCTTGGTTCAATCTTTTATTCATTATTCAGTAAAAATCTATCAGATGATAAAAGTTTGAAATTTTATGGTTCCAATGAAACTGCTTATTTAATTGGTCATAACAGCAGCTGTCATTTTACTTTCGAATTCGTGACTGCTTACATTAGTAAGTGTTTCGCTGAGCCGTCAGGAGACAACGAATTAGTCACAATACCTACTCGCATTCAAACCAGGTGCTGATGCACTCATACTTTTATTTTCCTGCACACGACACAGAGCATCGAATGATCATTCGGAGACTGAATTTTTATCATGCTTAAGTAAAACAAACTAACGGATGACATTTCGGTCAACTGAAGCACTCCATATTGCTCTTCTTGTGAGAAATCATGAATCAAACAAGTTGATGCTTATAAGTGACATCGGATGCTTGCCTAATACAATGAATTGATAAAGATAGTAAAATGTGAACGATACTTGTTAAAAAATCACCCTGAAATCAACCAGCCATCGATTAGTCAAATACTCTGTATTTTTCAACATTG